TGCTGTTGCCATGGGAACAGGGAAGAATATAACCTGATATGCACGATAGGCTGATTGTTCTCAAAGAAGAACTCCGTTTGACTTGAAGTATTTACATACATCTCCTGGCATAATGCCTTTGACTTTCAGGAATCTTTAAAATCCATTTTTAGGACAATCAAGCAAACATGTATAAATGTGAACAAAAGCAATCTTTTCCATCACATATCGTATTTTTGTATAAAAATTCCCAAAATTCTTTGTTTAAAAAACTAGAATGTATTTTGAATTTATTTACAATTTTGGCATTGTGTGGGGTTATTAGAAATATTTTGGGAATTTGGGGGATATGGAATGGAAAGTACCCAGATGAATCCTTTGAAATAGGTGAAATTACTAATTTCTAGTATGCAGTCACAGAGATAATACCCCAAGGATTTCATACCATATTAGATTTCCACACACTCTTTTGAGATTATTGACCAGGGTCTGATGTTTTGACAGATTTCATACTGTTAAGTTGTTTTTTCAACAGATCTTGAAGTTTATGGGGCTACCGATGACCACTGGCATTAGTCTCAGTGGACAGCTCCCATTTGTTTTATGGAGTGTTACAGCAATCAGCTTTCCCACTCAGAAGGGATTTGGGGTGATATCAAACTCAATTTAGATAATGAGAAATGTTGAGGAAAGATGGAATTCATCAGAGTGTCACCAAACTGGGCTTGGGGTGGTCCTGGAAGCCAAATGCACTGGAGTCACCCTTGAAAGTTGTGTCCCTTTGTAGTTTCAGGATAAACTGATCATCAGTCAAGTGGATCCCTTGTTTGTTATCGATATACCTAAGAGTACCCAACAATGTCTGCAGTTGTATCATCTTACAGGCGCGTAGGTAGCCAATTATTTCGTGTAAGCCCATAGGTTGCAAAGTTTTATATTTAGATATTAATGAGAGCTTGCCCAACCTTTTTAGCAACAATCATGTGTAAGACCGGACTTTTTTTTATAATGGTAGTATGCCTTCCACGGGTACTCAAGTACTCGAGCACGAGTCGGGTTCAGCTGGGTTCGAGTTCATTTACTAGGACTCGAGGACTCGATTTCCCGGAGGAAATTCTTATGCATCCAAACGTTCTCAAAATGAATATATACACAATTCGCAAAAATATACACAATAATTACATGCACAAAACGAATGCTGGTTACACACATATACACAATAAAACTGACATGATACAATACAGTTAACCACATAGGTAAAGAGGCTGAATAATTCTAGTAGTAATCATGATGATGATTCAAAATTCACGAATATTGGATGGTATGAAAGACTGTCAAACTCTGTTTGTTTTGAGGCTAGGTAATCAAAAGCGGCGTCTAGAAGGAAGTAGTTCAAAATGGTGAGATAAGTTATAAGAAGTATCAAATCTCATTTTAGCTGCCTTTTTGAAAATATGGCGCTCATAGGTAAAGGGAATATACTCAAAAGAGTCTCCAGCAATTTTGCTGGCAGTATTAACAATTTTGAAAAAACGTGTATTTTTCGTTGCGAGCAAAACATAGCAACACACCAACAAAGAAAATTGTAGGTCAACACCCTTTTAATAAAGGTTTGATTAAAAAAAACAACGGTCATTATGGTTTTGTCACTAGAAACGTTACCTAAGCAGCGAAGGAAATATGTCGTGTTGCACCTTTTTTGTAAATGTGATGGATATGTTTTGTAAATGGAAGTTTTCAATCTGAAATGACGTGACCCGTGAAGATCCGGGGTAGAATAGGTCTTCAGCAACCCATGCTTGCCACAAAAGGCGACTATGCTTGTCGTAAGAGGCGACTAACGGGATCGGGTGGTCAGGCTCGCTGACTTGGTTGACACATGTCATCGGTTCCCAATTACGCAGATTGATGCTCATGCTGTTGATCACTGGATTGTCTGGTCCAGACTTGATTATTTCCAGACCGCCGCCATATAGCTGAGTGCTGAGTCGGCGTAAAACTAAACTCACTCACTCACTCACTGAAATGACGTCGACATATTTGTTTATGGCCCATAACCATCAGGAACATCCCCAGTCATGAGCTCTGATAACTCCACTCTACTCACTGATCGTGAGAAGATCTTGGAAAGATGGGAAGAGCACTTCGACTCCGTCCTCAACAGACCTTCATTCATCAATGATGAAGCCATAGCTCGCCTTCCGCAAATCACTATAAATGAGACCATGGACACAACACCCTCCACTGGAGAAGTAAGAAGGAAATCAAGCATCTTTCATGTGGCAAATGCCCAAGCTCAGATGCTATCCCAGCAGAAATATACAAAGCTGGTGGAGAAACTCTGATACAACAACTACTGGAACTGAGTGCATCTTGCTGGAGCAAGGGTGAACTACCGCAAGAATTCAAGGACGCATCAGTTGTTCACATATACAAGAGAAAGGGAAACACACATGTCTGTGACAATCACAGGGGCATCTCCCCTTCTGAGCATAGCGGGAAAGATTCTCGCAAGAGTCCTACTAAACCATCTCATCCTGCACCTCGAAGATGGCCTGTTACCAGAAAGCCAATGTGGTTTCCGAGCTAATAGAAGTACTGCAAACGTGGTGTTTGCAGCCCGACAATTACAGGAAAAGTGCCAAGAACAGTACCAAGACTTATACACAACATTTGTGGGCCTGACAAAAGCATTCCATACTGTCAGCAGAGAAGGTCTGTGGAAGATCATGGTCAAGTTTGGATGTCCAGAACGCTTCATCACAATGGTGCGCCCATTTCTACGATGGAATGATGGCTCGTGTCCTTGATGATGGAGAGACATTCCACGACTTTCCAGTCACCAACAGAGTCAAGCAAGGCTGTGTGCTGGCACCTACATTATTCAGCATGCTGACCGATGAAAACTCTTCAACCTTCGGCGCCTAAAGACTATGACCAAGGTGAAGGAAACAGTAATCCGGGACCTGTTGTTTGCAGATGACTGCGCCCTCAATGCCACATCTGAATCTGACATGCAGCACAACATCAATCAGTTTTCCAGGGCATGTGACAACTTCGTTCTTACCATAAGCAAAAGAGAAGACCGAAGTACTACATCAACCTGCACAAGGAAAGCCATACTATAGTATTGTCGGAAATAGAAAAAACTGTTTTTAGGCTGTTACTCTGTATCCCTAAAATTTACACAATTGCAAATAGCATATGTCGAAATAACCCACTTCGGCGTAACTGGGCGTTCAGTGGGATGCGTAATACGATATCCAGAAAAGCATGTTTACTCGTAAAATCGGGCAAAACTTAGAAAAAATATGAATAGCTGCTGAAGACAATAGATCAGACTATAGATGGCAATTAGGTCGCTCAGCCAGGTATGACAACGGACCGTCGACTCACTTGGCATGAAATGCACGTGCTGCCTACAGGTACAAGGGGTTGTCTCAAAGATATTTTGTGCTTTTTCATGTGTGTTGACTATGTCTCATCTATTGCTTAACATCTTACTTGTCTTTCTTTCATAAAGTTTATGTTGAGATTTGTAAAAGAGTATGATACCCGAAAACCATAGAAATGCATCGTAGTATATAGGCGGCATGACCACCCGAAAATCGACAGGACTGGATATTATTTGTAAATTGTTATGACGTGCAATGTACCTCACCAGTATAATTGTCCTAAAGGATTATCTTATCTTAGCTGATAACTCTATCCCCCAGCCCGACCCCAGGTTTTGCTTTTGAGACGACCCCTCTTATCTGTTTCTTTTTATAGTGACAGTGAGACTCCATGGAAGCTACATCCTTAATAGTTTCAGCAAAAAAGTTATTATTTTTTACGTCAGCTATCGTTTATAATGAATCTACGTCTAATTTCAAATTGGGCATTTAAAAAGTGTCCTTTGTAATACAATATCGTCGCACACTAATTTGCATAAAGCCATGGTCTGTTCCAAATAAGTCTTTTTGGACTTAGAGAAAAAAAACGCATTGCTCATTTCTGCACTAATTTCCCCTCAGTAAAGTCCTTTTTCTCCGTTTCCTATGTCCCTACCACTAAGACTGTAGTTAGACCGAACTTATCAACTTTCACATATCAACTACATAAATTGTAGATATAAATGAGAAAATACAGTTTTTTTCTATTTCCGACAGTACTTTAGTAGTATTGAGGGCTTGACGTCATTCACATAGATGTCGATGGAAAAACAATCATCATTGAAAGAAAGATGCCCTTCAAATTTATGATATGTAGAATAACATGTTTATTGTACATGGAGAAGGTATTGGTAATGCTTTGTTATCAAAGGATATTGTAGTCAATATGATTCATAGAGGGATTTCCATTTTTAAATGGTTCTGATAACGTGTTTGTAGGTATTTTTGGAGAGAATTAGAAAAAAAAAATTTTCAGCAAAAATCATGTGAAAGCCCGGCCTTTTTTATATAATGGTAGCTACGCGCCTGCCTTAGTACCTCCTCCCACATCTGACAAACCATTAGAGTCGAGTACTGTCGAAAACAGCATTTAGCACACTTCATTACTACTCACAAACGTATTCAAAGGCCTTATGAGGCTGTGAAATGCTTCTAGTTACTTATGTGGTATCTGACAGGGTTAGAAACTGTGATCTGATTGTTCCAGCTGTATGCTGTATGGCATCTGTAGAGGCTATGGACCCTAACATTCTGGCATCCATGGAGGCTACAGACTGTGATCTGTTTATTCCAGCTGTACTTCTGTATGGTATCTGTTGAGACTCTAGACCATGACTTGTTTGTTCCAGCTGTACTTCTGTATGGTATCTGTTGAGACTCTAGACCATGACTTGTTTGTTCCAGCTGTACTTCTGGATGGTATCTGTTGAGACTCTAGACCATGACTTGTTTCTGTTGAGACTCTAGACCAGCTGTACTTTGAGACTGTATGGTATCTGTTGAGACTCTAGACCATGACTTGTTTGTTCCAGCTGTACTTCTGGATGGTATCTGTGGACACTGTAGACCATGACTTGTTTGTTCCAGCTTCCTACGACACGTGGCTGGGGATGTGTGAGGAGTACGCCCGGCAGCTGGAGGGCGACGGTCAGTATCACAAGGCCACCTCCTACCTGCTGGCCTGTCACAAGGTGTACGGAGCCATCGACCTCTTCAAGCGGCACCGACTCTTCAAGTAAGTCAATCACACCTATAGTACTTTGACAAATGTCTATGACTAGGCCTTTAGTGATTCTGGAGTACTGTAGTTTAGTGTGGGATATGATTGCCTATCTTGGTCATAGAGTTCAGACCAATCGTAGGACTTTTTCAATAGGGATTGAGAGGCGAATGTGTGTGCAAAGTTTCCTTGTCATTAGAGCCAGTGTTTTTATGTCCAAAGTCCATCTTCATCAGAGGGTTCCCAATACATTGAGTTTGCTGTGTGAGGATTGACTCATATTGACATTAGGTTCAGGACCTTTATGAGGTGTCTCAGGATTGTTGAATGAGTTACCTATGGCCGTATTTGTGTCATTTAGCCTTTCAAGATGCTGTGATCCATGATTTGAGATTGGAGCACCATCATTACCCTCAGTTCCAACATTTTCATCATTATATCACTGAACGGATCATAGATTCAAATCATTGTTCTCCTCTGTGTCCACCATAGTTGTTCAGCACTATCTCCAGGCTCCTAAACCAAAAATGCATTCAATGTCTCAGACCAGTATCACCTCGTCTTCCTAAAGGAAGGAAGCTCACTCTTTCACTTTCCGTTCATACACTCACATACCCACACACGCATGCATGCACACACAATCAAACAGAAGGCAGACTTCTTCCTGTATGTTTCATATTTATGGTTCTGAAATGCCTTTTGATAGTTCCATGTGCCCTTTAACAGACCCAGAGGACATCTTTATGCTTACATGTTCCATGCATCAGCCAAAGCACAACTCTTTGATGCTTTGACATTATTCTTGCTTTGCTTCCGTTTTTAAAAAAGAGCAAACATGACTGGAGATTGATTTGACTGTGGGCCCTGCTGTATCTGCCCGATCAACTTCCACCATACATGAGCCTGTCTTATCATATTACAGTATTGTGTTGTGTAGATTGCCAGGCTTGTGTAATCACCTTGATGGACGAGGTGTTATCTGTCTGTGTCAACACAAGTAATCTGGTCACCCAGTATGTGGGGCATTATCTGCCCTACTTAGGATAATCCTCCACAGTCTCTGTGTCAACAACAGGCACATGACGCCTCACGACAGCCACACGAACAAAAGGAATATTTTCCATATTTAATTATAATTTATTTTTAAGAAAGCATATATTCAGTGATTGATACATTTATTCATTCAGCTCACATGCTCACTCATTGGTTCAATCTTCATTCATTCATCTTTGTATTCCATGCAAGCAATTATTGGTTCAATCCTCTGTGGTTGCATCTGTTCATTCATTCCTTTATTTAGTCATTCATTCATTCTATGCATTCAGTGATTGGTTTATTCCTCTGTGGTTCCATCTGTTCTTTTATTCATTCATTTATTCATTTATCTGTGTATTCCATGCACTCAATTATTAGTATAATCCTCCTCGGGACGGTGGGGTAGCCTAATGGTTAAAGCGTTGGCTCACACGCCATTCATTCATTCATTCATTCATTCAAGTATCCATGCACTCAATCATTGGTTCAATTCTCTCGGTGGTCAAGTTCAATCATTCCATTATTCCATTCACTCAGTCATTGGTTCAGTTGTCTTCATGGTTATATTCATTCATTCAACCCTCTGTGGTGTGAGGATAGACTAGTTCCTTTTCATCCATATTCTTCTATGAGAACTGTTGCAATGTGGATGTGAGCAAGTTGTCTGTGTCAGGGTCGTTGCGTGTTGCTTGTTGCACATACCCTAGCTTGAATGGCTGATGACAGTCTTCTGTGATATGGGTGCAATATTAATGTCTGGTGCAGTCACTCACTAACTTATGCCTTCATTCGTTAATTTGTGTTGTGGTGGGTTGGCCAACTGGTGAAAGAGTTTCTTCATCATGCTGAAGACCCAGGTTCAATTGCCCCCGGATACAATGTTTGAATCCCATTTCTGGGGTCCCTCAGCTAGAATATTGTTAAAAGAGATGTAAAACCTGACTCACTCATTATTTTTTTGTTTATTCCTGAATTCTTTCATTTTTAGGATCAGAAATTCATATTAACGCTCAAGTTCAATTAGTGTTGTTTTGAATGTAAAACCCTGATACACTGTAGAAACAATTTATGTGATCTTTTCTCAAGGACAGATTCCAGAATTGTGTCGATAGATTGATATTGTCCTGACAACTTGCAGAGATGTGTGTCACTTTGGCAACAAAAACAACACAAATTAGGTTAATACCACCCACAGTGCATTGATACGCTCAATACAGACTTCCTGTTAAGCTAGACTTGAAAAACAATTTGCTTCAGTGTCAACAATGTGAACATTTGTTAGTTAAGAAGGATGATAATTTTATGGATATACAACTTCTTTATTCTGTTAAAGGCGACATTTCGACATAGATTCTGACAACGACATTAGAATCTATGTCGGAATGTCACCTTCTCGGAATAAAAAGAAGTTGCATATCCATCACCTTCATCACTTCAACAACCCGGAAGAAAGAATAGGTCTTCAGCATGATTGCCCAAAAGGCTACTATGTGGAGCCTCAGGGGATAGATGCCCTTTACAATGATCGTGATCCCAGGATGCGGGCAGCTAGATGTGGATTGGATGATGACCCATTGATGGAGCCTCATAGAGCAGGAAGATGCCCCTCAACTTCTAAATGCCCATCACAATGAGTGTTAGGACCCATTGGGCCTCAGCTAGATGCCCATGGATTGGATGATAACCCATTGTGGAGCCTCAGGATAGATGCCCCTACAATGAGTGTGAGGACGTGGCAGCTAGATGTGGATTGGATGATGACCCATTGTGGAGCCTCAGGATAGATGCCCCTTACAATGAGTGCCCATCGTGGGCAGCTAGATGTGGATTGGATGATGACCCATTGTGGAGCCTCAGGGATAGATGCCCCTTACAATGAGTGTTAGGATGTGGGCAGCTAGATGTGGATTGGATGATGACCCATTGTGGAGCCTCAGGGATAGATGCCCCTTACAATGAGTGTGAGGATGTGGGCAGCTAGATGTGGATTGGATGATGACCCATTGTGGAGCCTCAGGGATAGATGCCCCTTACAATGAGTGTGTGAGGATGTGGGCAGCTAGATGTGGATTGGATGATGACCCATTGTGGAGCCTCAGGATAGATGCCCCTTACAATGAGTGTGAGGATGTGGGCAGCTAGATGTGGATTGGATGATGACCCATTGTGGAGCCTCAGGGATAGATGCCCCTTACAATGAGTGTGAGGATGTGGGCAGCTAGATGTGGATTGGATGATGACCCATTGTGGAGCCTCAGGGATAGATGCCCCTTACAATGAGTGTGAGGATGTGGGCAGCTAGATGTGGATTGGATGATGACCCATTGTGGAGCCTCAGGGATAGATGCCCCTTACAATGAGTGTGAGGATGTGGGCAGCTAGATGTGGATTGGATGATGACCCATTGTGGAGCCTCAGGGATAGATGCCCCTTACAATGAGTGTGAGGATGTGGGCAGCTAGATGTGGATTGGATGATGACCCATTGTGGAGCCTCAGGGATAGATGCCCCTTACAATGAGTGTGAGGATGTGGGCAGCTAGATGTGGATTGGATGATGACCCATTGTGGAGCCTCAGGGATAGATGCCCCTTACAATGAGTGTGAGGATGTGGGCAGCTAGATGTGGATTGGATGATGACCCATTGTGGAGCCTCAGGGATAGATGCCCCTTACAATGAGTGTGAGGATGTGGGCAGCTAGATGTGGATTGGATGATGACCCATTGTGGAGCCTCAGGGATAGATGCCCCTTACAATGAGTGTGAGGATGTGGGCAGCTAGATGTGGATTGATGATGACCCATTGTGGAGCCTCAGGATAGATGCCCCTTACAATGAGTGTTAGGATGTGGGCAGCTAGATGTGGATTGGATGATGACCCATTGTGGAGCCTCAGGGATATGTCCCCCTTACAATGAGTGTGAGGACGTGGGCAGCTAGATGTGGATTGGATGATGACCCATTGTGGAGCCTCAGGGATAGATGCCCCTTACAATGAGTGTTAGGATGTGGGCAGCTAGATGTGGATTGGATGATGACCCATTGTGGAGCCTCAGGGATAAATGCCCCTTACGTTGAATGTGAGGATGTGGGCAGCTAGATGTGGATTGGATGATGACCCATTGTGGAGCCTCAGGGATAAATGCCCCTTACGTTGAATGTGAGGATGTGGGCAGCTAGATGTGGATTGGATGATGACCCATTGTGGAGCCTCAGGGATAAATGCCCCCTTACGCTGAATGAGGATGTGGGCAGCTAGATGGGATGTGGGCAGAGCTCAGGGATAGATGGATTGAGTGATGATGTGGGCCCATGTGGATTGGATGATGACCCATTGTGGAGCTTCAGGGATAGATGCCCCTTACAATGAGTGTTAGAACGTGGGCAGCTAGATGTGGATTGGATGGCCACAGCAGTTAATGGGCATTATTGGGATGAGTGTCAAATGTTGTTTGATAAATTAGTTTGTTTCAGGGTATGATCAGTGTTAATATTTGGCGCATCACTACATGCATCAAGACTCCTGTGATGTTCTATTTAGATTAAGAAGCAATTTAGGTGACTGGGTGTCAAGGTCTGTGAGTTAGTTCATACATGTCCTTGGAACCACTGTGGCAGACATCAATGCTCATTATGTCAGATTGGTATATGTTTTTGCTTGTCAAGATCATGATCAGATTATCAAGACAGCTTCCATAGGTTATGACAGTAGACCTTGTAAGGTTATGGTTGCCTGATAAGAAGATTTTTCTGAGGTTTCTCATCTAATGATGAGGGCTTCCTAAGGTTGTCATGGTCTAATCAAGAAGAGTTCTTTAGGATATGGTTGTAAAAACAAATGAGTTCGTAAGGTTATGGTGGTATTGTCAAAAATACTTCTCACGGATATCGGTTGGTCTAATCAAGAATTCTTCTTACGGATATGGGCCTCCTTTCACAAAGCACTAAGGTGATCGTAAGTCACTAAGGTAACCTTAGTGCAATGTGAAAGAATGGGAGTTAAGGTTAACCTTTAGTAAAGGTTGCTTCATGAAAGGAGCCCCTGGTAGTCTAATCAAGAATTCTTATGGATATGGGGGCATTGGGGTAGCCTAGTGGTTACAGCGTTTGTTTGTCTTGCTGAATACCCGGGTTCGATTCCCCACATGGGTACAATGTGTGAAGCCCATTTTCTAGTGTCCCCCGCCATGATATTGCTGGAATCTTGCTGAAAGCAGCGTAAAACTAAACTCACTCACTCACTCTACGGCTTCTTACGGATATGGTGGTCAAATCAAGATTACTTATGATGTGATACAATAATCAAGGTGACCTCACTCACTGTTTAATGAGAGATGACTTAATAATGAAAATTAATCAAACAATATTTGTAAAGTTGTTTGTGCAGATATGTTTACTATATATTGTCTCATGACTGTGTGTCGTGAACTTTATCTTGGCAGGGAGGCTGTGGCACTAGCTCGTATGAGGTTGTCTCCCCTTGACCCAGTGTTGGAGGACCTGTACATGGAGTGGGCTCAGATGTTGATGAAGGACGGCAACTACGAACAGGCTGCCAAGTGGTGAGGGTGAAGTGTTGTCAAAGGACTTAAGGGGATCGGGCAAAGTAGCCACATTTGTCCATTAAATCTGCAAGGGGGCCATTTTTACGTTCTCTGTATTCATTAGCATCCTTGATCTGTTCATCTGTTTGATACCTTGGGGAGATTCTGTGTAGAATCAGTCTCGTGTACTAGATGTATATAAATGCATGTGTACATGTTAATTGTTTTGGGAGATGCAGCAGCTGGACTGTGTACAAACCCTCAGTAATGAGGCTTTGAATACTGTGTTGCTTAGAAAGTGTAGAACCTCATAGAATCCATTATTATCGTATTTGTTAGATGGAATTGACCAGTTGTCAAAGTTTCCAAAATTAAATGATAAGAATTTTATCCCATTTCTTTCTACCCATGTCCACCAGTGAAGATCTGGGTTAGAATTGATCTTCAGTAACCCATGCTTGTCATAAGAGGTGACTAACGGGATCGGGTGGTCATGCTCGCTGACTTGGTGGACACATGTCATCATATCACAATTGCATAGATCGATGCTCATGCTGTTGATCACTGGATTGTCTGGTCCAGACACAATTATTTACAGATCACCACCATGTAGCTGGAATATTGTGTGGCGTAGAACTGAACTCACTCACTCACTCACTCACCCTCTCACTGAACCAATGTCAAATCATCCATGATATAAATGAAATTCCTACCTCTCTCCAATTCTTAATCTTTGGTTTCAGCTACCTAGCTATGAAACAGATCCAGGATGCTGCCAATCTGTTGACCAAGAGAACTGACCAATCGTCTCTCAAGACAGCCACTCACATGACTCTGTTAGCCAATGAAAAGCCTCAGGGATTTCTGTATGCCCATAGATTGGTTCATCAGTTCATTGCCAAGGATGACTGGAAGCAGGGCTACAAGTTCCTGAAGGAACATGAAACACTGAAGGTTGGTACAGCACCATCACCAGCATTGTCCCCATCCTCTGTGATGGTGAATCATTGTTACAAATAGTTGTGTTGTGGGAATAAACTTACCATACACTCCGTCTCAAAACTTGCTGAGTATTATTGATACTGTCCTGTTGATTGAATTCCTTTCGCTGACAGTAAAGTCCAACTGACAAAGTCTCAGCATCCAAAATAGTTTGCTGACATCTTCATCCAATAAAGACGTGGTATCACTATGAAAAATTGATATTTGTGCACTTTCAACCAACCAACTTGAGATTACCTGATCTGTATATGTCCTGTGCTGATTAGTAGCATGCTGTGTTGAATGTTTGATCTACATTCTGCCGCTAGATGTTGCTGCCGTTCCTCAGCATGCACGAGTTGCTGGTCCGGGAGCTGCAGTCCGTCACGCCGGGGACGCTGAAGGAGGTGGACCCCACCTGCTTCACAGAGTGGGGGGAGGTACAAGCTGGGAAGGGTTTCATTCCAGGTGAGATATTCAGACATACCTTCACCAAACTGCAAATCATTACTGGGAAGTCTATTATAAGTATAACTGTAGGACTGACTGTCTTCATCTCAAGACATGCATAAGACTTGTCTTATATTAACTAATTATGAATGTGTGTGGACAGTAGTATCTGAACTGGTACTTTTCCTATGTATCATTACACCCGTGAAGATCTGGTTACAATTGGTCTTCAGTAACCCATGCTTGTCATAAGAGGCGACAACAAGATCGGGTGGTCAGGCTCGCTGACTTGGTTGACACATGTCATCGTATCCCAATTGTGTAGAACAGTGCTCATGCTGTTGATCGCTGGATTGTCTGGTCCAGACTTGATTATTTACAGACCGCCACCATACAGCTGGAATATTGCTGATTGTGGCGTTAAACAACAAACAAACCAACCAACCCATGTATCATTAGATCAGAGACTCTCAACTTCTGCTGTGACCTGACCATGTATGTTTGAACCATGTTGTGGGTGATTGTTCACTCTATCAACCACTTGTTTATGTGATCCTGGCTCAATTGCTGCTTGCTGGTATATAGTTAGGGCTGGGAATGTTAAACCAGCACTTCCATCATTAATTATAATTATGGTTGACCATAAACTAATGTCTCCAGAGATTTATGTATTTCAAAGAAGAGACTCTAAAATCATTTTTCAAAAGCTCTGCTGTCAACAGTTATGGTTGTTTGATTTACTGAAATGAAATGGAAAAAACTCATCGATTTTCATCAGCGCCTTTCATTAGACAGCTCATGGAATATAAACAAACTGATCTGAAAATAATGTTGACCTTTCAATTGTTCTTGTTTAAAATAAAATGAATTTTTCAATGATTTTCAGATTTCATCCTTGATGTAGCTGAATGTGATCCTGTGTTGCCATGGAAGCCCTACATGGTTGGAGAGCACTCCTTCCCACACCACGTACTGAAGGTCTGGTCCGGTAACCTGGACATTGGCATGGACTCTGAGAGCCTCACTCTGACATACAGGACTCTCCAGCAACTGCAGTCAGGGAGACAGAGTCACATCGACCCCCAGCAGGTAACGGAGGATGTCCAGCTGCATGCTCATACTGAAATGAAAAACTTCCCGTTTTTTTTTAAACAAATGTTCATTTCTAGACTTGCTTCCTATACTTCATGAGTGATGAAGATTACTTAGGGATAGAAGGTGGATCAGTAGTGTGTTGGTTGAAGAGGAAGATAACGTGGATCAGGCTCTTTGATCTGGCCGCTGTAATTAATGGTAATCAGGCCCCAGTGACCTGGATCGTAACTCAATGATGCAGTCATCATCAGTCACAGTGGACGTATTCTTTGTCTCTTGGACAGAGCTAGATAACTCCATATAAATGGTCCCATTGAGGAGGCAGATGCAGCCTGAACCTGAGGAAACTCTAGACATGCTTCATGTAGGGGTCGTGGTGTAGTCTAGTGGTGAAAGTGTTCGCTGAAGACCCGGGTTTGATCCCCTACATGGGTGCAATATGCCCCCTTCTGGTGTCCCCCACCGTGATATTGCTGGAATATTGCTAAAAGCTGCATAAAAACTAAACTCACTCACTCATTAACTCATTAAGGATTTTAGCAGTGCAGATGGATGAAAGGGGAAATTTCTGTCCCAATGTGAATCTGAGAAGGGAAATATGATGACATCGGCAATATATTAGCAGACTGGTTTTTGTGACTGTGTACAATGTAATATGACTGAGAAAACCAGGACCTCATTTCACAAAGCGATCAAACTATCGATCTGCAACTATTATCTTACCTTCATGTAAAATACTTAGTTTAATTTCATTGGTCAATGACGCTTTAACAAGTTTCTGTGTCCTCCCTCCCAGGAGGGTGACAACTGGAAAAAATATTATCTGCTGCCACGGTAACCGCAAAACTCTCCGCCGGGAAGCTATTGCTAATAATGGTATGACGTCATAATATGACGCATGCAGTGCACAGAGTTAAAAAAAACATTCGATTAGCTGTTTTTGAGTTCACTATGTACACATTTATTTTACCAACTTTCACTGCTTTGTTTAAACTATTATATACATTGAATCGTTTGCACACTCAACTTAAACATAATAAACCATGTTTACTGCAGTTTTAAGCTTATGAGAATATGTTTCACTGATTTTAAAAATCCAGTCGAGAGGCAGACAAAATGGCTGTAGTACCCTCGAGAGAAGCATACAACTTATATTGTAACTCATATACTTTAACATATATTTATGATGGTCGTAGCAACTCAAAACAGGGACCTGCCCTCAGAGACTACATCAGTTTCCACTTACTCCAGTGACCTGACTGATGGTTTGCTGGAAAATGAAATCATTGACAAAATTATTCTGACGGAATTACCTTGAAAAATTACGAAATTTCTTTTTTTTCTCTATGGTAGTTCAGCCTGTTACTGGTCTCATGTTATCTATCTGAAGAGAATCTGGTTCAGTTCAAAGATAGCGACACTATCTGTTTCATGACATGAAAAGTCAGAAAATGTTAATAAAAGTCAGGATTAATAATCAGAATCAGAATTTCCCATGACTGATGATGTCTGTTTTGACACAAAATCTGCTGTAACTTCTCCAGCCTTCCTAGACTGTGTGTGTTGGGGGCACCGTGGCCCTGTTGTTGAAGGTACAATGATTTCACTGATTCGCTGTGCATACTTGTGTCCCTTGGGCTCACAAGATACCCACGATTCAGTGCTGCAGCCAGACTGTGTAATTGCGGGATTCCTGCTAATTGTACTTACCATGGCACTTCATTGTATGCGCAAAAATGGTGCAAATTTATTATTTTTAGCGCCTTTTCGTATATTGGGAGCGTAATTAATTTCAAAATACGACTATTTTCTTTGAAAGCTGTGTCAAACATTCGGAAATCAGAATCAAAATATTGAACTTCTGGAATTCTATACGAGGCTTCCTAAACTCTGCACATTGCTAGTATGTCTATTTGCATACGAAACTGTAATATGAATGACTGTAAAGAGCTCGTTTCCCTGTATGAAGCTCATGAGTTTATCATCAAATCTTTTGGGCTGTCAAAATGTCAAAGAGAAGGATGACCGAAAGAAAGAAATACCACACGTCAGCAACAATGAACACTTTTGGTAAGTGGCCAACATTATCTAAAGGTAGGCTCTATATCCTGGCTGCACCACTGATGATTGAAGGTTTGAATGTTATTTTTTAGGTTTGTCCAAGCCATATCAGTGCTTGGTGGTAACTGGTTAAGACCTGAATCATTTGGGGTTTTCTTCCCACAGTGACGCCCATTTCTGGTAGCAATGCCCATTTTTGGTGTCCCCCGCCGTGATGTTGCTGGAATATTGCTAAAAGCGGCGTAAAACCAAACTCACTCACTCACTCCCACAGTGACCCCTCATTCAGAAACTGTCAATGTCAGAAACCATTAAATTGTCAGTGTGTTCAGATTTGACCTGTAGAGTAGCTCTGTGTTGATCAAACATGTGATCCTGAGGTTTCCAATCAGCTGTTTCAACCAGTGTCAGAATTAAATTGGTTAAAGTTTCAGCAACTGCACTACCTAATATAGGAAATCAAGGACAAATGTTTCCAGTTTCGCCATCAGAAACACCATCAATGATAACTGAGTCACAACATCCCAGTACTTGACAGGATGATTTGATGAAATCTATTATCCACAACTTCATCATTGACTATCCAATCATGACCTTGAAACCCTCACCCTGAGGAAGCACAAATAACAATGGTGAACTAAATCTGTCAAATCAATCTGCAAGCGGGTTGTTTTAACCTGCTAACCAATCCAGGATATGCCAGGATCCTGGATCCTGGTAACATCTCTGTACTTGGCACAGCAGGGCCAATCCATACAAAGCCCCATCAGTTCCATGTTACAATTACCTTGCCAGGGGAGAGGAGCGATCAATTCCATCCCCCTCAGAACTCTTGACCTGTCTGTGATTGAACATGGTCACACTACTAGGTTGTAATTACAGATAACCGACAAGTGTTGCTGCTGAGTTTTCAGACCCCTAGGCAGTAACAGTGACAGTGTAGGGCTTTGATGGAAACTCATATTTCTTGTCCGTCAGTGTATGGAGATTAATGTGTTGCCACGTCATGGTGGTCATGCTGGTCAGTTTGTTGGGGCAGGGAATCAAGGCCATTGGTTTCCGTTTGAACTGTGCGAATGATCTCCATTTGTTTTTAATTATAGCACAAGGCATCATTTTGTCATGCTGTGTGGTTGAATGTGTAGAAAGGATGTGATTATTTAGACTTTGTACCTTTGTGACTTGTTGTGATGGTCTGGCTGTAGAGGATCGTTGTGCTGGATTAGTCTGTGTTTTTGTAGAGGATGCGTCTTGGCATAAAACTAAACTCATCATGCTGTCAAGATTCACTCCTCACTCACTTGTCACTCTTTCACTCACTCACTCCTCAACTCCTCACTCTGAAGAGAAGTGGGCTGAGTGTGCCTTGGCTCGTCATGAAAACCAAACTCACTCCACATCTGGTGTCCCCGCATGTTGCTGAATATTGCTAAAAGCGTAGAAAGCTCAGTCAGTCAGTCAGTCTGAAGAGAAGTGAAAGCATTTTTTATTTTGAGCCTGAGCAGATTTTGTAGTAAACAACTTAAGTCTCACTCACTCACTCACCCATTCACTCATGCATTCACTCACCCACCCACCCACATTCTCACTCACTCGTATAGGTTAATGCAGCTCAAGACAAATGAAGGGGCGGTGGGGTAGCCTAATGGTTAAAGCGTTGGCTCGTCATGCCGAAGACCCGGGTTCGAATCCCCACATGGGTACAATGTGTGAAGCCCATTTCTGGTGTCCCCGCCGTGATGTTGCTGGAATATTGCTAAAAGCGGCGTAAAACCAAACTCAGTCAGTCAGTCAAGACAAATGAGCCATGCCAACATAACCCAACTGTATGATTTATTGCAAGCCCTTTTTTTCTGACTTGATCAGTCAATCAATCATCTCTAATTTTTCAGTATTGTAGACCATTGGCCATGATATGATACCTGTACAAGGACTTAGGGTGCAAGTTTGTTTCCAATCCACATTTGCTTTATATGTGTACATAGATAATCTTTTTACGATGTAGTAGCTGGACTATAAACTTGTGTGATGTAGCATACATACGGTATTTTGGTGCCATAAATTGTGCGCCAAGATCACCATATGTTTTGAGGTTCTTGGGAGGCATTAGAAGTTGGTATTCAAGTATAAGACAAAATATTATGGACGTCAACTTCTTGTTTATTGTAAGCATATATATCCTGTATATGTGCACATGTTAGTTAGCACTCACCTGATGAAGGAGCAAGGAAAAGCCCAGAAAGGTTGTGTATACAAATTAAAGAAGTTGACATCCATAATATTTTGTCTTATACCATATGTTCTGCAGTTCAAAATACATTGATAACCATCTTTCATGTAGTTCCTTTTCCAAATATAACTACTTCCATCATCTCTCTTTTCTTCAGTAAAGCTTTCTGGTTCAATTTAACAGTAATGGGAACTGCCTTTAAACAGTGCCATTACATTTCTAAGATTACATGTTAGAGCATGCATATAGTGCTCAGTAGTGAAGTATAATTTATACAGAGCACAACCACATGTGAGTCTGTGTTATCAGTTACCTGAACATGCCAATCCTGTTTGTATGATAGTTTCAATCTTAGAAAACATTCTGACAAAAATGTGTATTTGGAACCAAATGTTGTTCGCATAGATAACCAGAACCTGAAGATAATAATGACTGTGTAACTTTCAAGACCCAAGTTTACCTCTGTGCTGCATTAAGTAATTAAATTTTTAAACTTATCCTATCTCACGGTATGCACCTCTCTTGTTCTTGTATGACCATGTGTGGAAACGTGCTGTAGGCTAAGTTAAATCAAACTTTCTGGCCTCTGACCCCTGACCTCTGCCCCACTCCATAGCAGGACCTGTCAATCATCTCAATAAGCGTGCAGATCGCTTCGATGATCACCTGACAGTCTGCCCTTGTCATTCTCGTCTTGGAGCTTCCAGTAATCTGTGATGTGGGGCAGGTCTGTGGGTATCCATCGCGTGAGATAGGATAAGTATATAAATATACAATTTATGTTAAAATTTCCAAATTTTTAAACTCATCCTATCTCACGGTATGCATCATCCCATGGTTGGGGGGCGGGCCGCAGAATACACTGTGTCAACTCATTGTTTTTTTTATTTCTTATTTTGAATCAGAATGTTGACATGTTGCTTAATAGAAACAGTCTGCAAAAGTCTTGTATCGATCCACATGTTTTTGCTGGGGTTTTCAGACCACACAACTTAGTTTATGGGTGACAGAACTATTGTTTTGCACACCTATGCCCTTCATTCCTCTCCAGACTATCAGTATCCTTGTGGTTGTTACAGTTGATGTTCCAAGTGTGCATGGACCTGACGTTGTCGCTGCTGGCCGTGCTGCTGGGCGAGACCTCCTCTGCCATCAACCACCTACTACACGGAGTGTCCACTCTGCACACTGTGGGTCAGCTTGACCTCATGGAGGCTGTGTGTCAGCTGATGCTGCCCTTGGGTGAGTCCACATCATGGGTCCACACATCATGGGTCTACATCATGGTTCGCTCGACATCATGGGTCTTCTCATTATAGGTCCACATCATGGCACTGAAAATTGAAGACAATGATTAGCACTGTTAAGACCTTTTATGCCAGTTGTGTTTGAATTCAAACGTAGGTACAGTGACAGTAGTATATTGCTATGGGACAGCTTAATGTTCCATAGATCACCCTTGTGTATTACTGGCACATTGGGAGATGCTCACCTGACATCATTTACACGTGTCACCTCTGTTGCTACTGTTATGTTATGTTATATCTTCATTGACCAGACCTATGTGACAAAAATAAGGTTTATAAGATTTTTTTTCAGCATGATGTTGTATATCCAGATTGGTTACATATGGAGAAACCATGATTGCTGAAATGACTTTGTTATTGTTGAATGTCATCAGTGGTTTCTGTTGTTTCTCTGTCCAGGTCCCAAGTACCTGCTGAAGCTGCAGCAGGAAGCCACAGCACTGCGAGTCCTCATCAGCATGGAGGCCCACCTGGAGGTGGAGGGGTCGGGGAAGGCACCCTCACTCAAACGCTACCTCACCGAGATCAAGGAGGATGACAGTGTGTCCACCTCGGGGCTTCGCTGTCGAGAACTGGACTGCCTCCGTGCCTACTACTACCTTGCGATCCTGCATTACTTGAAGAACACCATCAGGGAGGATTCCCTGGCTCAGGGTCAGGCTGCCGAAGCATCAGTAGATGATGACTGCAAGGTCCAGGCAAATGTGGATCTTGAGCAGTTGACTGTTAAGGAGTCCGATAATCCACTTGAAGGTGAAGGTCAGTCTGTATCAGGTCAAGACAAAGACCAGTGTGTTGTTCCTTGTCAGAGTCAGGATTTATCCAATGTTAAAAGTGAAAGTGAACCAGCAATACCAAGTGATGATCAGGGTCAGTGTGTTGTGCAAGGTCAAGGTCAGTCGGTTTCAGTTGGTCAAGGTCAGACAGATATTCCAAGTGATTCCAAAGAGGTTTCTAATGAAGTAGGCAAGGCTGTGGCCAGCAGTGAGAAGGATGTAAGTGACTTGGAGCTAGCAAGTGGGACGGATGCTGAGGGTGCCCAAGGAGGGCAAAGTGCCTTGGATAAGGATTCCATTCCATCTGAAAGCGATGACCAAAGTAATGTATCCAAAAAGTGCCAAACTGCTGACACTGTTCAGTTGTTATCAATCACCAAACTTAAACAGATATCCAGAGGCCTACTGTGGGACATACAGGCCAAAAAACATTCTCTGACAGAGACTCTTGGCTACATCCATAAAGCCATCTCTAAACACCTGCTGGCAGATAAATCCAAGGACTACCAATCAAGTGGATTCAAACGAGTACCTCAACAAGCTGCTGGAGGAGAGAACAGTAACAGTCTCATCAACGGGTTCACCAGTGGAGGGGATGACACCGAGAACACAGGATCAAGTCAGGCTGTTGATGGAGCAAGTGCTCAGGCAGCATCGCCATCATCACCATCATCAGCACATTTCACTGTTCCTAATGGACTCAAGGATGGTCTTGCTGCAGCAGGTACTGTGGCCAGTCTCTGCAACCCTGTTGATCCATCAGACATTGAGTTAGTGTCCTTTTCTGGAACAGAAACTTTTGCCAAGTCTCGGAAGGTTCTCTGGGAAGATGAACCACACAGTTGTGAGAATGTTGACTCGCGCCCGAGGAAGGCCAGCTGTGTGTTGAATCCAGCCAAGTACATCAATGTGCCAGATGAGTGGTATGGCATGCCCGTAGACGAGAAGTATTTCAGGCCCTATGTTACCATGGCAGTACTGAAGGAAGAGCAGGAGTATGTGATGCACGAACTGAAGCGGGTGCCAGACAGCTCTGTGGTGAGTACACTGAGATAAACTTCTCATATGATCTTGCTTTTTATTTTTGAGCAATGCTAAACTGAGTGTTACAAGCAACAGGCATCAGGAGTGATTGAGTTTAACCTGGGAGGGATATGTCTTCAACTTGATTTGTTTCTTGGAAAGGTTCATCAAACCAGTTGAAAAATCTGTTACAATGTCAGGTTTCAAGGACTATGAATTTGGTTTGATAGAAGTTTGATGATTATTAGAAAACATTTTCTCAACTGGCATTGCCTGCGTGGTCATCTTTGAATGATCATATCACGTTAATGTGTGTTGAGGATCAATTTGACTGTATGAGCATTTGATTGAGAGACTTGTTTTGTATCCTGATAAACACGTACCAGTAGGCAGCGAGAAATATATGTATGTTCAGGACTTTATAGTTCAGATTTCTATGGACCATGCTGTATGTTTTTCATGAACATCATTAATTTCTATTTCAGGTATCTTTTCCTAACCCATTTGACAGCGTGAAGGTGTTGTTGGACGTGTGTCGCCTTTGTCCGCACCTAGACGGAGACTCAAAGAATGCATTCAATAACCTGCTTGTCCTCTGGGCTCTGCACTTTGCCGTCACATCACATCAGCGTAGGGAGCTCAGCAAGCTCATCAAATGTTCGCCAGAAAAAGAGAGTCAAGTTTAAATTCAAGTTTTCTTATCAGTATCGACCAGTGTCACATTCTAACGAGACACCAATATCATGTGTGTGGTATAATGAGCATTATTTGTCAACATTGATGACTATTCAGAGCATGTATGTCAAGAAAACTTACCTTAATCCAAAATTGCAAAGGAATCTTAGACCTGATCCCAATAATGTCATGATATCTGTCATGATAAATGTCATGTGTTCTGTGATGAGAAATTATCAAACACATGATAAACATCAATGAAACAGTGAATGTATGTACAGTGTCCTGGTGATCCGACCATACTATAGGATTATGGTCACATATCCACAGTGTAGGTAGCTGCCAGACGTACACAGAAGCTGGTACACGCTTGAACTGTTCTGTTTATCCTCAACTATCCAAGCATCTGTCCATTGTATTATGATAAATACCCGAGACCCATTCTCCACCTTAGCTTCAGAACTGACATTATCATTTTAGTTCCTTTGTCACTGACTTTGTCCAGAATTGATCTTGCTCTTTGGCTTCAAATTGAAAATAGATTGCCTCCTCTTAATACTTTTTTCAGCATATATCTACTTCCAAACGTGTGACCTTGTGCTTGCCCTCAATAAAATTGATGGAATCAGAAGAGATCTGAAGACTTCAAATCTGATTTAAATTGAGTTCAGGGTATTTATCGTAAGATTGGAAATACTCCAGATTTTCAAGGATGAGTTTTGTTCTAAGCATATACTGTTTCATGTAGGTCAGACCTTTCTTTTTTAATATCATCTGCTTCTAAATCCAGGAATGTAACCAAGCACCAGACTTTACATAATGTATTGAATGAAGTGGTCTGTATCGATATACAGATACACAGGTTGTCTTGTTTCGTGTAGCAGTCTAGAGCCCACAAGTCATAATGTGGTACATCTTTCATCTTTTGACCAAGCTAGCTGTGTTATGTTACCCCATGCTTCAAATTAGACATAGGTTGCCTCCTCTTAATACTTTTTTCAGCATATATCTACTTCCGAATTTGTGACCTTGTGCTTGCCCTCAATAAAATTGATTGAATCAGAAGAGACCTGAAGACTTCAAATCTGATTTAAATTGAGTTCAGGGTATTTATCGTAAGATTGGAAATACTCCAGATTTTCAAGGATGAGTTTTGTTCTAAGCATATACTGTTTCATGTAGGTCAGATCTTTCTTTTTTAATATCATCTGCTTCTAAATCCAGGAATGTAACCAAGCACCAGACTTTACACAATGTATTAAATGAAGTGGTGTATGCTGTGAATCGATATACAGATACACAGGTTGTCTTGTATCGTGTAGCAGTCTAGAGCCGACAGGTCATAATGTGGTACATCTTTCATCTTTTGACCAAGCTAGCTGTGTTATGTTACCCCATATAGCCATAATAAGCCTCACTTCGATCTTCAACCTTGTAGTTGGCTTGATTGACACTGCAGTGAGCAATATTTCAGCAGCATCTCAACTGACTGTAGACACAGCAAACCAGTGGTTGAAAGCATAAGCACCAATCAGTGCTTTCTGAGTTTGATTACATGTAATCAGCTATGTCATCAGGGCCTGGCACCTGGTCCTGTTTAATCTGCTTGTACAACCAGTATGTAATACTATGGACCTCGGGGATCCAACAGCAAGGACAGGTAACTCTATATATCCCAACATTCTGTTTCATGGTCAGTCTGCTGCCATTGCTGTTGACCAAGAGACCCTTTTGTTCTTCTGTGTATCTAGTGTATTAGGTTTTATCAGGCAAACAAATTTCAGCACATCCAAACCTCGGGTAGGTAGGGTTTGTTTTTTACATGTTCATTTCTTTGAAAGATATTACTTGCAGGATATCCATGAAGCAGCTCCAAATTAAGATAATGACTGGCTTGTGCGTGGATAAGTGGAACACATTTGTGCTAGTGACTTTAAATACAAACAGAAAGTGTGAACTGGTCAGGGTCTACCGATTACAGTTTTGGTCTGGAAACAAACACATTGAGGAGGGACCTCAACAATGGCACCAGTACAAATGATTTCCCCCTGTTTCAGTTAAGAATGAATGACTTACAGAGTCCACTACTGTAGTGATCCACTATCCTACAGTACTGCGTCGGCGGGGATAATTCATGCACGAGAGACACACGGGTAATTTGGAGGATGACATTTGTTTGTTGTCGACCTGCCAAGGACACTACTGTCGTGCCTGATGTGAATGGCATTGTTGATTTGATTGTTTTATTGTTTGTTCTGTAATTATGAATGACATAATCATGAGCGGTTCTTCCCTGTTGTCTCTGGGTCTGGCTGCCCTTGTGTAAATTCAGACCCAATAATGTGGGTAGTCACTCCACAGCTGCTTGTCTGATGTCCTCATGTCTCATTGCCTCAGTCGTTATCTCCCTATAATAGTATATTGACATTTTTCTGAGACATTGCCAGAATCAGCCAGTATTTAACTCTGAGAGTCTCACCAAAATTATAATAGTCGGTAAATAAGCACCATACCAAGTCTTAAAGTTTTCACCCAAGTCATTCACATCTCTCCTGTCTCTCTCAAAGCTGGCCTCTTATTTTAAATAGCAAAAAAGTTACATTCAACTGACTTACTTACCTCCAGTGGGCCTAGTGGTTAAAGCATTTGCTCGTCACGCTGAAGACCCAGGTTTGATTCCTGACATGGGTGCAATGTGTGAAACTCATTTCTGGTGTCCCCCGCCGTGATGTTGCTGAAATATTGCTAAAAGCGGCGTAAAACCATACTCACTTACCTCCAATGAAGGTCTTTAGGATATCACAATCTCAGTGGTTTTCACAACTTTAGCTTGCTCTTGGGACAACAAAGACATTCAATATATGAACCATTAATGTAATTAGGTCAACCAAATTTTCATGAAATGTTTGTATTAAAGACATTTGTGATCAACAGGCTTGAGCATTGAGGGTGCCCAAGGGCACATTTTCCTATTCTAAGCCCATTTCAGTACATCAGTCCTTAGTGACATGTGGAAATTTCCAAGAACACATATTAAGCAAAAATTTTGTTTTAGACATGGATAGTAATATCGGGACACACATTCATTTTAGACCATTCTTGGAGCAACTGTCAGTAATAAATAGTACGAAAAGCATTCTTGCAAGTTTCAAGAGCAGACGTCCAATCTTTGACATGTTTTAGTGTGCTTCCTCTGCCCTGGTCAACAAACAAGGTGGACAGGAAATTGACTAGTTAGTATGCTTCTTCACCTTGAGCACAGACTTCCATTCTTGGTCATAAGTAGATAGACTTGTTCAATGGATCAAGCACAGCTGATTCTGTCCGGTTGATGGGAAAGACTATCTGCCATGGGTTTGACGCCTCAGTAAGCTCAGGTAAGCCATTTACTGCTGAGTGACCAACAGAGGATACATCTGATTTCAAGCAGGGGGCGATCTGCTGTATGTTCTCTGTTCATTAAAAACTAAATAATGTTTGTTTCTTAGATGTGTGTTTCTGAATATTTGACTGAGAGAAATAGTTTATTAAAGTGTCAGAAGTTTTTTTTTGTTTAAAAAACTGACATCCTTCCATCAGGTTTCTCACAAGATACTGAGCTGGTTTGTTGTTTAATGCCGTACTCAGCAATATTCCAGCTATATGGCTGTACAAGACACTAGACAGTTGGCACTAACACTAAAGTATACAATATGACTACATGTTTACTTGCCATATTTACAGTTGTCATTTATTACACATATTTGACAAAGTAAATGCTGGAAGTTTCAGAACGATGGAGTTCTAAAAATTCATGAGACTCAAATAGCTGTGGTAAAATAGCTGTTTGAAAAATTCAAACTGAAGCCTAGCTACAGGTTTGTGAAAGCTGTAGAGCTTCTGCCTAGGTTATGAAAGCTGTGGTGTTGCAGCCTAGGTTTATGAAGACTCATCTACTATCAACTGCAGAACCACTGTGGCAGCCATATTTGAAACATTTAATGAAATATATGATGATGAAATAAATTAGACCGATTTAATCAACTATGGAAATAGAAGATTTCTGAATATTTGTTATCAAATCAAATTCCAAGGGACTGAGTGAAATCACTTCGTCTGAAGAGCCATGTTGGTGTAAATCAAGGGAGACAACTCTTAAAGCCATGGAGAAGTAAATGATGAGATGCTGCCTCTAACAGCACCGAGGCCTTAAGAAAAGTGCACAATATGAGAGTCCTTAGAGGAACTGGGTGTACTAAGGATGTTTTAAACATTGTACTTGATGTAAATATGTATGGTCCTCTACAGAAGGAATATATCAGGTGATTTTGTTCATTTTCATGTGAAAGAAGTGTTAAGCCTTTCTTGTGAAATTTATGTATGTATCCAAATTGTGTTTTGTTTCTTTTCAAATGTTTTGTTGATTTGTGCATCAAAGTGCTATGCTAGTTGTGATATTTTTTTGTGGAGATTACCTTTTTTGCCGTTTCCAACGTAGTGTTTCATGTGTTGACCTTGATGTGAAATTTGCTGACCTTGACATTGTCAGTTTGAGCTTCTGTCTACAGCTCTGTCTGTTCATTATCTGCCAGCACTGGATTTAACATTTCTTCTACCCTGCTGAGCGTATCAATAGATATTTACACATTTGGAATATGTATTGGTCAGGATTAGGAGGCAATAACTTTAACAAAAGTATCTGTGACCATTGGAAATGCTGTTTTGAAGTTTCTTTTCTTCAATTTCCAACCAAAGGTGACATGGTTTTCGGTTGGAAACTTAATATTGACACAATGTCTTTTTTTGCCAGAAAATATTATGAAACTTGACTTCAGAACATTTTCACTTAAGTGTTAAACCACTCAGTGAAGGTGAACTTCTGTACCTGTTTTGGTTATGTTTATGCCAGTTTTGTTGAAAATATTCAATTCTGGAATAAAATATGTTTGAATTCAGTATGTGTTGCTTTCAAAAAAATTCATGAAGACAAAAGAAAAGATGAACGATATAAATACATGATATTCATAGGGAACAAGTTTATCAAAATCAGTTTACTTTTTTTCACATGACATTATTTTGTATCCACCAAAGAGCTTGATCATTTCCGTGTTACAGATGCATTTCATAATTATTGTTTCATGTGTAGATTGTCAATCACAGCTCATGACTTAAATAGAGCAGAGCCAATGTTTCAAGGTCAAGAATGGGCAGGAAAACATCATTGTGTCATTGAAGGCATGTGCATTCACCTGTTGACATTTTCACCCAGCTTTGACTTTATGTAATCTTTGCCTCAAAATGTTTTGAAGAGATCAAAGCATTGCCTCCTGTTTTCTGCTTGTGTTGACATTGCATTGCCGATGAACATGAAATGGGAAAATATTTCTGTGTCACTGTTGTTTGAATAAGTAAAAATACAAGATTTATGATTGTTAAATTTGTGAATAAAGAAAATTACTGATAATGGGTTATTTTGTATTTGTTTAAGAAATTGATCTCTTTGTGTGCACATGTGAGGGATGGTAATACCAGCTATATCACAGACACTTGTAGACAAGTGTAGAACAGACCAACCAGTGGGTGATAGCATGAGCATCATCCTACACTATTGAGGTACAACGACACACAGTCAACCAAGGCTGACCAGAGAATAGAATTAAGAAGCTTATAATGCAAGGCATAGGTTTCTAGGGATTCTTGGAGGTTTAGCAATGAAACTTCCTGTGGTTGTCGTGACAGGTAACAAGTGGCTTGTATTGATTAATCTGGGGCTTTGCTGTGCTTGTGTGTCATTTTATCATCCAAAACTGTTCCACAGGAGATATTGCCTGTGTGAGATCATACGATATCTCCTAGGAGATATCATTTTGACAGTAGATTTTGAACAATGCTATGACGTCATGAACTTGATGACATCACAATGCTATGACATCACTGCACTGCAAGTCTCATGGCAGAACCGTGTTCAGAGATATACATGTTTCATTGAAAACTAATGAAGAGTGATTTTGGATGATAAACATAGAATCTCACCCTCGTGTCTTCTGATATGAAATATATCAACACTGGTTGATAAAAGTAAAAATATCCTCGGCAATATACCCAAACAGCATGGATGTAAGTTGTTTGGTCAGGCCACTATCAGAATCAATGTGTACCCTCCCAGGCAGGATGAATGTTGTGAAGAGTCTACTCTCATCAGTCTGTTCCAGTGTATGTCCTGGATATTTTTGTGTGGGATACCATGCCATGACAGCTGTGTTTTGCTCACGCTGTCAATCACTTGTTTTCCTTGTCACAGTTACAGGCTGGTTCATGATAGCTTGACTTGTTGACTTCATCAACCAATGTGTACCACTACAGTCCATAAGGCTGTTATGATGAGATTATGCAACTGGTGAGTGAGTATGGTTTTACAAGGCGTTTAGCAATATTCAAGCAATATCACTGAGGGGCACACCAGAAACGGGTTTCACACATTGTACCCATGTGGGGAATCTAACCCAGGTCTTCAGCGTGAGGAGCGGATGCTTTAACCATTAGGCTACCCCCACCGCCCCTACGCAACTGGACAAGCTGCCCAGGATGAATTACCAGATAGTGTCCTGAGCGTTTGGTCAAGCTGGTCCCTGAGGGATGCATCACGTCCTGGATGGGTGTTCTCTGATGCATCATTTGTCTTTATCATGAAATGAACATATGGCAAGAATTAAGTTCTGATGTTAATGAGATTGACAACGACTCAAAATGTCACCAGATCCACAGCAACCTGCACTGATCGAACGTCAGACTTCGTGTCATGACCGATACGTCAAGACCTAGACTAACGCGTAGTCTCTGAATATATATAATTTTGATAATAACAAACAAACCAATTTAAATTGAAAAGGAGTTTAGGGATACCAGAGATTCAGAACCTTAGGAAATCTAGACTCGCTTTATTAGGGCTTTAGCATTGCAGATAGGGCTTGGCAGTAGGGAAAATAATGTGGTTCAGGGACTGTGAGACAGACTACTCAAGACCGGGACAATGCTCGTAATACTATAGTTACTGGGTTCTCTGTCCCAGACTCGATTCCCGCTTTCATATTATATAGTTATACAATTAACAGAACAATCTGGCGTGATTATATCTATCTTTGTATCTACAAACATCTTACGCCTTGTTCAGTAAAGTATATATCTTTCAGGATACCACAAGCCACGGCATCCATTAACTATGACTTGATAGTTTGAGTTTTGAAATCAACTACAGACATGAAATGCTGCATATCCATCCTTATTCTCCCGTGGTTTCAGGAACACCCACATAACCCATTACCATTATCATTAGATGTGGGGGTCCGCACTTACCTGAATCAGATCTCATATTAGTCCACATCATCGTCCACAACCACTGATCCATTACAGCCGCGTGAAGCTACAAGTGCCTGGCTTCTGAACATTTTCGAGCCTAACTGCGTTGCGTGCTAAACGGGCTTACAAAAGGCAGACAGCAGGATTGTGTGGATGAATGGACTAGTAATTTGTCCAGCCAAGACGCGTTACATCAGGAAGTCCTTTATAAACTCCCTGGCTGTAGTCAGGCATTCAAGTGGGTTTAGTAATGATGCGAATAACACTTAAATTACGCATTTTATGTACCACCTGTAATTATGGGTCGTTAATACGTTATTTGCTATCAAGGCCCCGTGGTGATAGAGTTGTATAGGCACATCAAGCCGACACACCGTCATATTACAACTGAAATAGTGTCCATTAGCCAAACTCTCACTGATTCGCATACATCTTTATAACGTACAGTAGACCGCATTTATAACGGTCTATTTTTTAATTTTTTTTGTGTGTGTCGGTTTATTTTGAGTTCCAGCGACTACTGTATAGTTTAGTCGAAATTCGTATAACGAACTACGGTTAAAACGAACTAAACTTAGTTTTAGTTCGTTATAAGCTTAGTTTATTGTGTGTTGTAGCTTTATGACATATACTGTATCACATTCGCACGAAATCTTAAAAACCTTTTATTTTATTACATAGCAACAGTTCGGCATGGAAGATGCAATGACTGTAAAGTGCAAATTAGGTTGGTTTGTTAGTTTACACCGCACTGCTAATTCGAGGGGAATAATCGCCAAGTGATCTTACCTGCCGCCATATGTTGGGATGCTGGTAACGCTACCAGCATCACCTTAGGTACAGTGACTACTGGCGAGAGATACCGATCACTCAGATGTGTAAGGGATCTTGGTGGTGAGACAGTCATTGTAAACTCACTCGTCTCCTTCCACACGTAGTAAGAGACCCGTGAAGATCCGGGCTAGAATTGATCTTCAGTAACCCATGCTTGTCTTAAGAGGCGACTAACGGGATCGGGTGGTCAGGCTCGCTGACTTGGTTGACACATGTCATCATATTCCCATTGCACAGAACGATACTCATGATGTTGATCATTTAATTTAATCAATTTTGAACATAAATATTTGTGCTTGCATATGGGAAGGAGTCGGGTCACTGATTTTGTACATGACATGCAGGGGAGTCACTTACTTTGTACATAAATATTATCGGGTGTTATTCACATTTACATTCACCGTTAAAATCATCATCCCCCAAGCCATAAATTATGAACGGTCCCTAATATACGTTGTAGCAAACCCACTTTCATTCAGTCACTCATGGAAAGCAGTAATGACTGTTCCTAGATGTTATCACCTGTCGTTTGTGTTAAGCTGTAATGCTTTGCTCGTGCCAGATTCGATCAGTTGCAAGCGTGTGAATCATTTCACCACTCCTCAGTTTTGACAAACTTTCTCTCAGTTACATTCCATTTGTCATTCGACTGTGTTGTTAGTCTTTTTCAGCTAAGCTGTTTCATTAAAAAGGTTGGATCCTTTGTAAAGTGAACATTAGGCATTGAAAACATCATCTGTATAGAAATAAAAGTGGATACAACCATGTTGAAGTTACACCCACATGTATGCCATTGTAAACGACGGGTGTTCAAATTCCGATTCAAGGTACGGTCGTGTTAACCCCTTTACAGAAAAGAAGAACTCTCTTCTAAAAACGGACAGTGCTGTATAGTTCTGAATAAAAGAATAAGTCTGTGAGTTAAGTGCAACAGTGTCCACATTAGCATGCGCATAAGCCGAACAAACCCCACCTGACGTCGCCTCACCTTCCCTGTGACCTTGCGCACATTACCGTTGTAAGGCAATGTCAATAGCGTGACGTCACACGACAACTCAACGTGGTTCGGGTCGTAGCGGCCCAAACTACATAATGTGTTCGATGTTAGACTGTTTAGAAGACTGGATTTAGTACTGTTTCAAGACACAACATCAAGTTTCGATGTGTTGTTGCAGATGGAATTCAATGCTAAAATCTGAAACACTGATTGTAAAGGTCATATGTCATAACGTTATGAATTACGATGACCAATGGTGTTTAAAATAGATCATACATTTACCTCACATGACAAGGAAAAGTGCAGAAGTCATTTTGTACTAACGCGGGGCTTGGAAACCCCACCAGTTATTGTAACAGAACGGACGCTGGTTTTAGAATTGTTCTAGAAATGTTCAAATATCCAATATGGCTACCAAAGACAAGTCTCTTCTCCAAGATGGCAATGGTGACAGTGTTAATGTCGCCGTTACTAGCGACGACGTTGGCGGAGACACAGTACAAGGTGTATTTCAATATAACTTACAAACAGGAGACAACCAATGACACGCTGTGGTATGAAAGCGACAAGGGGAGATTCGTAGATGGCGTTACGTCGACAAGGTTGGAACCTGTGACTGGTATTGTCGTCCACGTTAAGACTGATGGTTGCGACCATTACAGTATGGCAGCTCCAGGCGTGAAGTGGGTGGCTTTGGTAGCCCATGGCCAGTGCCCATTTTCAGGGATGAGAGCCAAAGCTGAGGAATACAATGCCTCCGCCATTGTTGTCTATGGTAGCGGACCTGCCTGGAAGGAGATGTATGCCGTGGAACATGACGGTTGGTAATTTGGATCTAGTTTGTATGTCTTAAGGTTTTGGTCTCATCTTGACATGTATACACATGACATACTCGTTGACTAGGTCGATGCATGGTATTATCTGTTTCGGACAGGCCGCCGTAAATGGGATATTGCCGAACACCAAGCAAATAGTAGTAGTAGTAGTAGTAGTAGTAGTAGTAGTAGTAGTAGTAGCAGCAGTAGTAGTAGTAGTAGTAGTAGCAGTAGTAGTAGTAGCAGCAGTAGTAGTAGCAGTAGTAGTAGTAATAGTAAACTGACGTACAAAAGAGAGTACACATCTGATGCTTTGGTAATGTTTATCTTGTCNAAACACAGCGTTAAAATTAGAAAAGTGTTTTGATTATGACTTACAAGTCACAAACATTGTGTACGTGTTGCAATAACACCAGATACTGTACCCAATTACAACGTTGCTAGCAAAATATTTGTTTATTTGGGAATAGTCCTGAAACACCAGGTGTGTACTTTCTTTTGTACGTCAGTATAGTAGTAGTCTGACTGACTGACTGACTGACTGACTGAGTTTGGTTTTACGCCGCTTTTAGCAATATTCCAGCAACATCACGGCGGGGGACACCAGAAATGGGTTCACACATTGTGCCCATGTGGGGATTCGAACCCGGGTCTTCGGCGTGACGAGCCAATAATATAATATATAATATAATAATTGATTTATAGGGCGCCTATTTCCAAAAGATATTGCTCAATGGCGCTATAAAGAGAAAAGATTGTAGACAATGTCTATGGAAGAGAGAGTTTGAACAGATGAGTTTTGAGGGCAATTTTGAAAGCTTTAACCACTAGGCTACCCCACCGCCCCGTATAGTAGTAGTAGTAACATCAGTAGTAGTAGAAGTAGAAGTGGTAGTGGTAGTAGTAGTAGTAGTGGTAGGTAGTAGTAGTAGTAGTAGTAGTAGTAGTAGTAGGTAGTAGTAGTAGTGGTAGTAGTAGTAGTAGTAGTAGTAGTAGTGGTAGTAGTAGTAGTAGTAGTAGTAGTAGTAGTAGTGGTAGTATACCCCTTCTTGTGATTACAGGGAGACATTTGTGTTCTGGTAGCGTCTCACCAGTGCAGAAATGGTGTTCCGGTGGAGCAGAACCATTCAATAATGTGTGCGCTTTGAAAAGAATGTTTTTGCACCCCCCAAAAATAATCGTCAAATGCATACAGCTTGTTTCAAGTAGGCTCTTCCTTTCAGAGAAAGTTGTCTTGAAGCTTTGTTTGTCACAAAATGAATTTCAAACAGAAATCTCCTCCACCCACTCCATCGCCACACTACCTGAATATGAAATGATTGGTGTCCAAATAGACTTTAGTAGTAACGTTGTGTTGAGGTTTGGGTGAGGTGAGGTGAGGTGAGATGAAATTGGGTTTAACGACGTGCTTGAGAATATTTCGCTCATATGACGACGTGCATGCGTGTGTATGTGTATGTGCGGCTGCTTGTACTAGCCCAGACTGAAGCTGGTTTTATAGTGCTAGCCCACTGAGATACCATGCCGCATGAATACCCCACTCAGACACATTATACTGACTCCGAGCCGACCAGTCCTTGTTGTACCCATTAATGCCGAGCGCCAGGCAGGGACCAACAAGTACCATATTTTAACGTCTTTTGGTATGACGCGGTCGGGGATCGAACCCGCGACCTTCCGCTCTCCGGGCGGACGCTCTAACCACTACACCACGGAGGCGGTGGAGGTTTTGGTGAAGTCTTACCTGGTAATGAGTGGTCGTGATAGCAAGCTGCAATGAGGATCAGAGAGTAAGGCTCGGTGACCACCGAGTGTGTGTCTCCGTGGTCGATGACTCGTTTTATTGCTCATGCTTTCAGTCATTAGTTTGTCTGGTTGAGGTTTGATAGTTTTCAAGATACTCCCATATAGCTGGGGTAGTGCAAGCTGTAGCATTAACGACTCTATATATGTTTAGCTATACTTTTATCAGAATGATAAACAGAAGAAAAAGACACTCTCCAGCATTTAGATTCGAAACCATGATCATAGGTTTCTGGTGCAACCAAGGGGCGCAACTCCACAGAGCGAATTTCAGACCCTTATATATATATATATATCTTGGATGTCTGTGTCCTCCTTTAGAAAAAGAAAATAAATATCCTTGAGTAACTTATGTTCAATTTTTCTCCGTGTTACAGATAGCAGGATTGTTGCTATATCTGTTCCTGAGAGCGACGGTGCTCACATCGCCGACCTGGCAGACAAAGGGCTCACCGTTATGATGTACATCGCTGTGAACAAAATAATAAGAAAAAATGACACTCATCATATTTCTGTCAATAACGACAAATACGTCGTCAACAAAACATACGTGTCTGTCTCCTTCGCCGTGATCATCCTTCTGGCCATCATCGCTGCCGCGTGTCTGTTCAAGACCAAGGTTCAGCACCCACCACGTGTATACTTTGAGAGGAGTGCCGATTGGGAGGCAATACCCGAACGAGAACGCATGCGAATTATGCATTAGAGATGCAGATTGTGCATCTTAATCTGTGAGTGAGTGAGTGAGTTCAATTTTACATGCTGTAACAATATTATTATATGTTATAATATCCCGGCGGGGTGCACCAGAAATGGGTTTCACACATTGTACCCATGTGGAGAATCGAGCCAGGATCTTCGGCGTGACGAGCGAAGGCTTTAACCACTAGGCTTCCCCGCTGACCCTATTAATCTGTGACCTGTGACCAATACGTTAGATTCTTGTGAGAAATACACTGCATGGTATGTTTGACCTTACATTAAATCAATTCCATTGATTAGATGGTGCCGGAGACCTGTGAAGGTCCGGATTAGAATCGGTCTTCAGCAACCCATGGTTGTTTTAAGAGGCGACTAACGGATCGGGTGGTCAGGCTCGCTGACTTGGTTGACACATGTCATAGTATCCCAGTTGCGTAGATCTATGTTCATGATTTCAATCAATGGATTGTCTTGTCCAGACTCGATTATTTACAGACCGCCGTCATATAGCTGGAATATTGCAGAGTGAGACGTTAAATATCAAACAAACGAAAGCTGGTGCTGGCAGTCTTGACATTTCGCTGTGGGTACATTCTCGAGACAGCATTTCGCTGTGGGTACAGTCTCCCGACAGCGACATTTTCTACCATGTCTGGAGTTCACGAATGTGTTACGCGCTGCAGTGAACTCTTACAAAAACTTGATGATTATTTTAAGATGTCTATCAATGTCACATTCCGTTTTACACGGGTTGTTGGAATATATTAGAAAGATTTTACAAATATGAACTTACATATATACCAGTTTAACATTATAGTATGGCGCTCCAGACTTATCGACATTGTGATTACTAACTACTAACCCTTCATCAGGCAGTAGGTCTATGGTAACCCAGATAAAGCTAAATATTAGTTTGGCCACAATGGCGCCAGAAATGGGTATTTTTTAAGGGGTGACATTAAGTAGTACAGTTCTACACGGTGACTACTGTAATGATATACACATGTTGTCAGACTAATAACCTGATCTCTTGAGTAAATAGTAGCGGTACAACCGTCTGTACAGTGTACGTACTTTAAATAAACAAACTTAGCCTCTCGTTCATTGAGTCGTCTTTTTGACTTTAAACCGTGCACAGCCTCAGTGGAATATGTCAACACACACACGTGCATTGCCTTGATTGCATCCGCATACAAGGTACCGTTAATAATTTATGGCTAGGGGTTGATGATTTTAAAAGGTGAGTTGTTTGTGCGCGCGTGTGTGTGTGTGTGAGTTTGCATTTTGTCCTTTTAGTCCTTCCAGAAGGAGGGTAATAAATATTGTACACATGTACTGGGGTGAGGCAGCTGCTTGGTACACACAAATATTAATTAATCATGCTTAAAATGTAAGGAAAGGTGTGTGGGTGTGGGTGTGTTTGTAATCGATGTTGTACATAACATGCAGGGGGGTCACATAGATTGTACAAAACATTTTTTATATTTCTTTTGTTGGGGGGTGGGGGTGGGTGGCATCCCCATTGCACATGCTTCTCGTTATACTTGAGTCTCTGATTAGCATGAGCGTGTATCGTTTTACGTCTATTCACTTCCTTAACATTTTCTGAAAGTTTTGCCAAATTATTTAATAATGCAGGTCTCCTTGACCAGAGGGTGCCATTTTCCCACTTTAGGGTTTGGCAACGTTCCAGCAACGCCAACACCGACAGTCACGTCGTCACTGTTGTATTTGCTTCCACAGTCAGCTGACGCGCCCTGGTATAAACATTATGTCCAAAGTGTCCACTGTTCTTACTCCCGTGTTACAATTACAACATGACCTACTCGCAACACGGAGTTGCCTCAATTCTCAACATTACCCCACGCAGGACAGGTAATCTACGATTCCAACAATCGGTAGCCAATCAGAAAAAAGCTGAAATCATAACGGCTCAATGAGAATGTATGAGCCTGACTTCACTTAGAAGGCTATAAATAACGTATAAATGATTTTGTGGCATTTGATTGGCCAGCCAAGAAAGTTTTGTTTTTGTTTTCATGTTACCATACATTGGAAAACGGTTTCCTTTTGTTTAATTACTGGCCATGATTTAAATAGTGTGTTTTTCATGAAGGTACCTGCGTGAACAGTGTCACAGAATTCGAATTTTGTTTCAACAGTTCCGTTTATGTCAAAGAATATAAGCTACCTTTGAAGGTATTGTCGTTTGACATATGTTTTATAAGACTTGATTTCAATATATATTTGGTGTGTTTTAGAAATACAACTGTAAAATCCGATGTGTTCCTCAAAGTGTTCACATCGGATATAATGTCTAAGCTTAAAGAATGAAAAAAAACCCAATTAAAGTCAGTTCTTAAATGTCCCAAAATTATCATTGGCAATATGTATAAGGAGTACTTCCAATGCCCGAATAGTTATTGCTGAAAAAGTCTTATCAGCACAGAGATTTGATGTTATTACCGTCGTAAACACTCTTACTCTGTCAACCTAAGCTCCACTATACATATCATATACATTCCTTCATATGCTACTAAGATATTCCCTAGTGGAAATTAATCAAAAGTGTAGTCTGGGGCTTGGCTGGTAATACCTAATGTCACACACCAAGATCTGGACGTGTCGTATCTTACAGAGCCATTAATCGCTGAAGCAAGCTTCTCAACATTGTGGCCTGTGTATTTAACTGTGAGCATTATCAGTGAGTTGTGAGTCTAGCTGAGCGAGGTTAAGTTCAGCGTTGGGTAGCTAAGTGGTTAAAGTGTTTTCTTGCGGCGCCTTGTTTGTGTACCTCGTCGTGGTAGTAGTCCAACTGTGTTGAACGTTATCTGTTCGGGATAGCAGAAACAGTGCTGAATTACAGAGGTCAGACCCGTGAAGATCCGGTCTTCAGGAATCGATGATTGTCGTAAGAGAAGAATAACGGGATCGGGTGGTCAGGCTCGTCAGGCTCGTATCTCAATTGCGTAGATCAATGCTCATGATGTTGATCAGTTGATTGTCTGGTCCAGACTCGACTATTTACAGACCGCCGTATAGCTGGAATACTGCTGAGTGTGGCGTTAAAAGAACAAACCAAAATAAAAAACTGACGTCGTTTGGTCCAGAAGTGACCAATTTGCTCCAATGCTGAAGACCATTGCCCTTATGTATTCAACACTACTTCTTTTTAGGAAATGTGCGCAATATAACTCTCATTTTAAAAGTTGTACGACAGTACAGTTTTGTGTGGTCCAGATTTATTATGTGTGTTGTTCGTGTATGTGATCTGTGTGCGTGCGTGCGTGCGTGCGTGTGGGATGTTGTTTTAATGAGCTGAATGTTGTGTAGGTTTGTCTGTAATATGTTGGCGAGTCGGTCTGCTTGATGGACACGCCTCGGACAATAACGTACAGTTATCTGTATAATGTATCGAGGACTTGAGAGTATGTCTCTCTACGGGTATTAAGTACAGGGTCTTACACCCGTAAATATATGAGCATACCCGTTACTAAACCTATAACAAACATGTCAGATAAACCCGCCTTTCTACACCAGATGTTGATGTATAATATGGACAATCTGTGCTTACTTGTAGCTTAAGCACGTACAAAGTTCAAGTCAAATATACACAAGAAACTTTAACGCTCTGACATAATCGATTGAGTAGCAAATATTCTGAACGATAATGACACTCACTGTGAGTTTGTGTCTACCACGGAAATATTGTTTCACAGATAAGACCGTCTGGCAGACTCAAGAGTGTAAAAAATCGTAGGTTTCTCAGAAGGATCACGAACCTGGGAGGTTTCTAACCAGGAGTCAAAATCCGTGGAATCCAGCGTTTGAAACATTGTCTTGGCTGATTCATTCAGAGTGTTGTCAGCTATGTCAGGTGTAATGCCTACTGTATAGTCCGTATGACGTGGAGTAAGTCGCAGATTACCCTTACTTATATCACAAATTATGTAAACATTTTTTTCTGAGTTGCAGTTGAAGGTCTTCCTTGTCTATGATCATCTTCAAGGTTTATCTTTAGTTTCCCTCCTCTTAGCGGTGGCATTGGGAACGTCATCATTTCCTCACGCTGGCACCGTGTCCGCTTGGAGGACTGACGCTTCAGCCCTTTCAGTTGGATGGCGTTTGTTTGTTTGTTTGTTTGGTTGGTTGTTGTTTAACGCCGCACTCAGCAATATTCCAGCTATATGGCGGCGGTCTGTAAATAATCGAGTCTGGACCAGCCAATCTAGCGATCAACAGCATGAGCATCGACCTACGCAGTTAGGATACGATAACATGTGTCAACCAGGTCAGCGAACCTGACCACCCGACCCCGTTAGTCGCCTCTTACGACAAGCATGGGTTACTGAAGATGACAGTTCTGTTGTCAGTTATGTCAGTTTTTGCTTCTTCGGAGAATGAATGCCTAGTGTAGTTACCTTGAAGTTTGCAGAAACATACTGTGCAGCTGTGTATTTGGATCAGATAAAGCATGTTAGCATGAGAAGTATTGTACTAGTATTTAAAACATACACGTTGTTGCGGAGTACTCTTAATCCTTGACAGGGAGGCTCAAAACTTTTTATAGTACGTTTAGTATGGGAGTTACGATCATCCTAGCCCTAAGATCATTTTGTGGAGCATGGTCCTAATTCAGTTAACGTAATATCACTTTACATTAGACACATTTTACCTAGCTCAATACAGAGATAACACCCCTGTACAACTGACAGGTATTATCTTATTGTACAAAGACATATTACCTACTGAAAGGTACTAGTGGTTGTATAAACAGATAATACCCAGATACAACTGACAGGTACTATACTAGCCACATAAAGAAACTGCATTGTCAAAATATTATCCCAGTTGATAAGTACGATAACAATGTCAAAGGTACATATAAACTTTAATGGAGGGATCATGAGACCATAACAAGTCGGGAGAATTTCAATTGAAAAGTCAATCACAATGACGTCACGAGTCCACAAGCGGGACAGGGGTCAAACGACCATGTCACAA